CCGTGTTCCACTCCTGTTGCCACTTAGCCAACGATTCCGCTCTCACAACTTTCCGTACTCTTGCGGCTTCTCTCTGCCTGTAGCACTCGTTGTCCTCCGCCAAGGTGATGCCGATAGGGATCAATCCGGCGATAACGCATACTGCTTCCGACGAGATGGTTATGTACGCACTCACGACTCGCATGGCCATGAGCCGGAACGTACTGCTCAGTAGAGTGATGCAAAACTTGAAATTTTCGCTCCACAATACTTAAACGATTCCAAATCAGATCCTGACTAACCTCTCAAAATTTAAACCCATTTGGTGAGAAACTGAGATGGCACAAACCATTTGAAGTTTGTATGGGAATTACTATGGTAAAACCAAGATTTTTGTTCATGTCCATCTAATAATTCACCATATCGGTTTGCTTCAAAAACTTTCAACTGTACTTGTAGGAAATTTTCCCAGCTACAACTTTGCTGGAGACCATTTTTTGATTAAATGCAAGGATCGAAAGTTATCAATGGTTAAATGCGCTGATGTCTTATCATCATGCTCAATCAACTGCTCAGCAGGCAACATTGGTGTTTCTGGGGTGTTGAATAGGACACCAAAATCATGGCTACTATGTCACACTGCAAAATACAGTGTTGCCTACAGAGCAGCTGCTTGATCATGTCATAAGTTTATCAATCTCTTAAATAATTAATAACTTTTTCCTGTCTCGTTTACATAGAAATGATCTGCAGCAAAGTTGTAGCTGAGAAATTTTCTATAAGAATGGCTATAGAACTGTTTCGCAGCTCAATATGGAAAAAGACTAGAAGGCAATGAACAAAAAGTTGAGATTTCCCATAGTAATTTACATGCAAACTTCAAATGGTTTGTGCGAAGTCTGTTTCTAACCAAATGAGTTGTAACTTTTGGACCCGATTTGAAATTTGTAATCAGGACCCGATTTGAAACCATTTAAGCACTGTGAAGCAAAAAAGTCAAATTTTGCATCAGTCTACTGCTCAGTTTCCTTTGGTTCTGCTTCGTTTCCAGCACTGCAACCCAGGCTGGACCTCCATACCTCAGTAATGACGACAACACACTGGCCAGAAGACGCCTCTTGCTACTGATGGGACCAGCGTTGTTCGGCATGATTCTAGCTGTCGCGTTTATGGTCTTCGAAGCCTTCTCACAGGCATATTCGACGTGACTGTTGAAGTTTAGCCGGTCATCGATCATCACTCCCAGGTATTTTAACACACGCTTAGAGGCTATGATGTGCTCCCCGAAGGTGATTTCTGCCCGCTGTACCACTTTACAGTTACTGACCAATAGCAATTCCGTTTTAGGGTGGGCTATCTACAGCTTCGCTCCTTGCAACCAGTTACCAATCATGTTGATCGCCTCGGTCGCCAACATTTCCACCTCCTACAGCGTCTTGCCTGTTACCGTCAGGACGACGACGTCGTGCGCAATGCCAACGTTCTCAACTCCTTTGGGCAGTTTCAGCGTTAGCACGCCGTTGTACATCCCATTCCAGAGCGTGGGACCAAGGATGGAGCCTTGTGGAGCCCCCGCTGTGATCCTAATCGATCTCTGTCCTATGTCTGTCTCCTAGACCAGAACCCGGTTCTGGATATAACTCCTCAGGATCCTGCACAGGTAGTCAGGGACCCTCATCCTATGCAGTACTTTGGCGATAGCATCCCAGCTGGCGCTGTTGAACGCATTCTTGACGTCGATCGTTATCACGGCGCAATATCGATCTCAGCTCTCTCGACCACTGTCCGAATTGCATTCACCGTCGATCTCCCTTTCCGGCATCCGAACTGCCTCTCCGATAATCCGTGCTCACTCTCCATGCATTTCGTCAGCCTGTTTAGGATGATGCTCTCCAAGAGGTTTGCAAGTGTATCCAGTAGGCATATAAGCCTATACGATGCTGGATCCCCCGGTGGCTTTCCTGGTTTCGGCAGCAACACTAGCTTCTGTATCTTCCACCTATCAGAAAAATGACCCTCGTCCAGGTATTTCTGTAGCACCACTGAACATGTTCGGGGACGCCTGGATCGCTAATTTCATCCGGACCGGGAGCTTTCTTCACCTTCAATCCTTTCGCCAATGCTACGAGTTCCTCGTTGGTGACTTCGATGTTATCTCACTTTCCTTCTCCGTACGGTGTAGGTGGCCAGGTCGTTGGGTCGTGCTTCGGGAAAAGTCCTTCCACGATGACTTTCAGCTTCTCTGGATACATTCAGTGGGCATCGTTGGACCTCTGATCTTCGCCATCACGACTCGGTATGCGTCGCCCCTGGGGTTGGCATCAGCGTCTCGACATAGCTCCTTAAAACAGTTTGACTTGCTCTGGTTTATCTCTCGTTTAAGTGCGGCCCTGGCCGCACGAAACACTCCTCTTCTTTTCTCTCTGCCTGTTTCCGTTCTTGCTCTCTGAACACGTCTTCTGGCTCTGAGACCAGAGTCGATGTTATAATAAAAGTCCCGCCAAGAGTGAAACCAGAAGTACCAATCGAACTGTCAAGCGGGGTACCAAACAAGCAAAGTAAACGGAGAAAAAATAATACCCAAAATTTGAATTCTTTTTGCTTAATATTGACTTCAACCTCTCACTTGCACTCGTAATTGTTGTCAAAAAACGAACGAGGGATTCGACCCAACGATATAGTTCAGCCCAATAAGTTACTTTTGAGTAAATTGCATATTCTCAAATTTACGTGAATTAAACTTAATTTTGGGTAGAATATACTTAAGAGTAGGTAATTTTTTAGCTGATGTGAAATGGAAACTACTATATGCGATTTACTCAAATTTGGGTTATTGGGCTGAACCCCGGAATTGAGGAAAAAGTTCTTAATTTTGGGAAGTTTTTCATCTCCGTGTAAAGAAACATTATTGTTCCCACAGCCAGTGAAATACAAGTATTGAATTCATTACTGACAATATTTTAGTTATTTTAGATGAAAAACATTTCTTCGCTTTATTTAGTACATTGTGGTATTTATATGTTATACCAAGCACTTGTTTGAATATTTTTCAGGTTCTATAATCGTTTTTGTCTCCCAGAAGCTCCGTATGAAATTTTTCACTTCTCAATGAAAGTCATCCGATGCTAACGCCAAAAATCTGGTTGCCGTATACTCTGACGAAAAATAAATCACAAACCGTGCTGCTTGTTCGCAACATTTTCTCTTGGCGGGACTATTATTATAACATCGACTCTGCTGAGATAACTAGCGCGGAGAGTGCTAAGTGCCTGGACGCCGTCTATTATTTGGCTCCAGTCGGCATGGTCGTGTCACATGCTCTCCCTAACGTTTCTGTCAGCTCGTCCACGTTTAGATCTGCGGAACTCCTGTCCACACGAAGTGCCTCAACGAAAAGATCCTTGTCGAAAGCCTTCGTCTTCCACTTCCGGTCACAAGTTCTCGTCCTCCGTACTGCCACAGTATTCCGTTGGCCGATGCCATACCGGATCGCCTGATTGTCGCTATGGGTCTATCCTTCGCACACTCTCCAATCCATGTTTACCACCAGCGACTGACTGCAGAAAGTAACATCGCTAATGGACTCCCGGCCATCTCTGCGAAAAGTGCTACTGGTGCCTTCGTTGACCAACATAACTTCCAGTTTTGCCAGAGCTTCCAGCAGACGGTGCTTTCTTGCATTGGAACATCTGCTTCCCCACTCCACTGCCCAAGCATTGAAGTCTCCTCCGATGACTACCGGTCGTCGTCCGATCAGCTCTTCGGTAATTCCATCCAGCATCTCATGGAACTTCTCCATCGTCCATCTGGGGGGTGCGTAACAACTGCATATGAAGATTCCGTTGATTTTGGCGATCACGAAACTTTCGTATGAGCTTGCAACCACTTCTTGAATGGGGTATCTGCACATAACTCGTATAGCAGGCATCCTAGCTCTATCTGCCACCCAGTTACCGTAATCGGGAGGGACTCGATACGGTTCCGCAATGATTGCAACGTCACATTTTATTTGTGTTGTTGACTGCCACAACAGTTGATGAGCACTGTTGCAATGATTAAGGTTTATTTGGGTTACCTCAAGGGGTTGGTCACTCTACACAGTGTGCCAAAATCAAAATTGAGCACACCCGGGCGTCATTGACGCTGTTTGGCACCCATGGTTAGAATTTTTATGATCTTGAAAGTTACTGGCAACACTGAACTTTTTCGTCGCTTACGGAGTGTGCATGCGTCAAACTTTGTTATTGATGTTGCCACAATATAATCAAATTATTTTCAAAAAAACGGGAATCTCCACCAGTCTCGCCATGGATTCTCAAAATCGTTACGTCCGTAACGGCAGTCGCATCCAAATTTCCTCCCAGACGAAGAACAGCTGACAGCGGTATCTTGACCTGACCGAGGTTTCCGGCCATGGGTACTCGAACTAGCGATGCAGCTCCCACGGCTGCTTCCAATGCTCCTGCTGGTCCGTCTTGTTTATGAATGTTAGAGGAGACGGACCAGCAGAAGGAAAAGCAGCAGCAACTAAAGCAGAAGCAGCCGCAGTAGCGCCGTGGGAGCTGCATCGCTAATTCATGTAGCTGTGACCGACGCTGGAAATCTCGGGCCGGTCACGACAAGCGGTGCTTGGGTTTTAATCGGAAAGTCAACAACCAAACAAAAACTATGCCTGCTCGAATACATCCATGGCGGTGGCTGCTACACCAACCGTTCCATCGTCCAACACATATAATGTTAGATGACCGTCTTGGCAAAATCTCAAATAGTTCAACAAATTATTTGTAATCTCCTGCATTTTAGCACTTCCAACTAACACAATAAGAAATTACATTTACGAATCATAACATTAACTACACAGAAAAAGGAAAATCCTTTCTATTCTCAGAAAAAGAAAGCTAACTTGTTCCGATGTTCTCGTTGCTCCACGCACCGGTCATTGTCTTGGAGGAGGAGAAGCACTGCTTCATATTTAATGAACGGGAGTTTGTGCATTTGTGATCGATCGCGCTGTGGTTGCACTACATGATGGCGTTCACCGCCAGGGCTACGCTCGGGAACTCGACCAATTCAGAGGAGAAACTTTCCGATTTCAGTGGGAACATTCGCACTTGCGACGGGTGGCAGTCCTTGGTGGTGAATGCAGTCAGCAGCAGATCCTCAGACGGCATACGGGTGGGGTATTGAAGAAGTGGAGAATGCGATTTTTGCTGGCCTGGGAAGTGATTGTTCTTGGTGGTGCTGTAGACCTTGAAGCTGATCGAATTGTTCGGCAGGGTGTACGTTCGACTGATTAGACTGCGATGGCGCCTCCCATCTAGACCATGGCAGTACCCTCTTTGGTCTTCAGGAACTTTATTCTGACATAACATTTCCATACAGGAAGAACAGATTAAACAGCTTATCGGTGTTGGCTGTGTTGCTATCAAGTCCGTCGACCATCATCACTGTACCCTGTTGCTGTGCCGGTTGAATGAAGTTGACTGGTCCGTTTCGGGTCAGCAGTGGGTCCTTCATCAGTCCGATGTGTGTTCTGGCCGGTGTTGGTTTCCAGTTTTCCGACGGATGATACTCGGGCGGTGACAAATTCGGTGCAAATCCGTTTCCGCCGCCGGCTCCCAGAAAGGCTGGTTGACTAATGATTGACTTTCGTTGTGCGGGGTCGGTCTTCCGCCGAAGATGGATGTTTTTGAAAACATTGAAAATCAAAACAATAACAAGAGCTGTTAATGTAGTCATCAACATGTATTCGCGGAATCACCAAAACCAGTGCTATTCTAATGCTAGCAGCTGAAGGACTACCAAAAGACAGAAATCTCCTGCACGAAATTTTCCTTGACGTCCATGAAGAACTTGGAATTACTCGAAACGACGCCTTGGCAGACCTGCAATCCTACCGTACATTCCTGTCCAGTGAACGCACGCAACGGCTACAATCTACTAGGGAGGCCGCCCTCAAATTTTACAATCCTGTAAATTTTCAACGCCGCTGACGCACCTTGAGGAAGACTCATTATTTCTATATAACGATGCTCGGCATGAGACTGAGGTAACTAATAATAACAATGACCATACTTTATCAACCGACGTATTTCCAACAATTTCTTCACACAGACAGAATGCGACTGAAATTTTGATTTATTGTCAAAATTTCAATCGCATGAAAAGCCCAGCTAAAATGAAGAAAATTTATCAACATTTATTATGCTCATCCTTTTTGGTCATTCTGGCAACTGAAACAAGCTGGGACGAAAGCGTAAAAAGTGAAGAAATCTTTGGAAATGCCTTTAATGTATTCAGGGACGACAGAAATTTTCATGCAACACAGAAGAAGTCAGGTGGTGGAGTTCTTATAGCTCTTTCGGCCAATTTTAACTCAGAAATTATCTTTACACCAAAATTTACAGAATTTGAGCATATTTGGGTGAAATCACACATAGCCGGTGAAACGCACGTGTTCGCCTCAGTGTATTTTCCACCAGACCATGCTCATAAAAGCACTTATGAAGCCTTCTTCCAAAGTGCTGAACAAATTCTATCTGAGCTTCCTCCTGAGGTTAAAGTTCACATCTATGGAGACTTTAATCAACGCCATGCTGACTTCATTCTGGACTCTGAAAATGAATGTATCTTACTCCCAGTTGTTGGGGATAATGAAACATTGCAGTTCATTTTTGACAAAACTGCAAATTTAGGACTGAACCAAATTAACCACATCAAAAACCAACAAAATTGCTATTTGGACTTTTTACTAACGAATATTTATGAAGATTTCTGTGTGACCGAATCATTAAATCCACTGTGGAAAAATGAAGCGTTTCACACAGCAATCGAATATTCTTTATTTATGCATGAAAACCAAAGACCCAACGACTGCGAATACGAAGAAGTCTTTGAATACAAATTAGCAGACTACGAAAAAATATAATTTAAATTAAACAGTGTCAATTGGCAATTAATTTTAAGGAATGTAGGAAATGTCGAAATAGGTATAGACGTGTTCTACAAAATTTTAACAGAAATAATTTCGGAAGAAATACCTTTGAAGAAAAAAAGACGTAACAGAAACACACAAAATCCAGTCTGGTTTAACAGACAAATAAAAAACTTGAAAAATCGGAAACAAAAAGCACATAAAATTTATAAAAAACACAATAGTAGTAATAATTTATTAATTTATTTGGATCTATGCGATCAACTGAATTTAGCTATCAGTACTGCATTTGAAGAATATAATGCAAAAACTGAACGTGAAATAAAGTCCTGTCCGAAGAACTTCTTTAATTACGTAAAAACGAAATTAAAATCTGACAATTTTCCTTCAATAATGCATCTAGACGAAAATGTCGGTGATAGTTCGGAAAAAAACTGTAATCTATTCGCAAAATTTTTTCAAGAAATTTATACGACATTTTCTGAAGAAGATCGTGACCGCGATTATTTTGCATTTTATCCAGAATTTTCAAGGGACATTGGCCTCAATCAACTTCAAGTGCAGGACATTTTGCAGGCTTTAAAAAATTTAGATGCCTCAAAAGGTCCTGGACCTGACGGAATTCCTCCAGTATTTATTAAATGTCTAGCAATGGAACTCATTGCTCCATTGTTTTGGCTTTTTAATATGTCCCTGGAATCCGGAACCTTCCCTAAAATTTGGAAAAGCTCATTTCTAGTACCTATCTTTAAATCTGGTCGAAAATCTGACGTACGTAATTATCGTGGTATAGCCATTATCTCTTGCATTCCTAAGCTTTTCGAGTCAATTATCAACGAAAAATTATTTCTCCAAATCAAAAATAGAATTACTGACATGCAACACGGCTTTTTCAAGGGTCGTTCGACCTCGACCAACTTACTTGAATTTATAGACTATTCATTGAATGCAATGGATAATGGAAACCACGTAGAAGCTCTCTATACAGACTTTAGCAAGGCATTTGACCGCATTGACATACCAATGTTACTCTTTAAACTGCAAAAAATTGGAATTAAGTCAGGGCTCCTGAAATGGCTTGAATCATATTTAACTAACCGCCAACAAATAATTAAATTCAACGGAAAGAAATCGAGCCCAATTCAAGTCACTTCAGGCGTCCCCCAAGGCTCTCATTTGGGACCTCTCCTTTTTATTCTATACGTAAACGACATATCTTACATTCTCAAAAAACTTAAATTGCTTATTTATGCCGACGACATGAAGCTCTTTTTGGAAATAAGAAATGAAGAAGACATCAATATATTCCGGAATGAAATACACATATTCTACATATGGTGCAAAAAAAGTCTACTAGAATTGAATGTAAAAAAATGTAACTTAATATCACTGTAGACAAATGTGAAAGAGTTAGGGATTTAGGAATTATCTTAGACTCTAAGCTAACTTTCATAGACCATTACAATACAATTATTCACAGGGCAAATAACATGCTAGGCTTTATCAAGCGCTTTTGCTATAACTTTCAGGACCCTTACACAATTAAAACACTATATATTGCCTATGTGAGGTCAATACTGGAATATTGCAGTATTGTATGGTCTCCATTTTCAATCACGCACGAAGAAAGATTAGAATCAGTACAAAAACAATTTCTATTATACGCTCTTCGTAAATTAGGTTGGACTTCATTTCCTCTTCCATCATATGAAGCACGCTGCATGCTTATAAACATACAAACATTAAAAGAGCGTCGTGAATATGCAATGGTTTCATTTGTAAATGATATCGTTTCGCAGCGAATTGACTCAACAGAACTTTTATCAAAATTAAATTTCCATGCACCCACTCGGCAACTCCGAAATCGAAATTTATTTGCCATAAAACATCATCGCACAAATTATGCAAAATATGGGCCATTAAACCGCATGATGGCCTCTTACAATAAACACTGCGAAACCATTGACTTTACAATGTCTCGGCATAAACTAAAGCAATATTTTTATTCCATAAGAAATAACAACTCATAAAAGAAAAGACAAGAAAGCTGACACTACTTTTTTATATAAATATATATTTAAGAAAACAAAACTGTATTAATTGTACTAGTCTACGTTGGTTGACGAAAATAAATAAAATAAATAAAAAATACCAGGTTACTAAACAAGGCATTATTCACAAGCAAACAAAAGTCAGTTCAATGACTTCTTGGCACTGCCGATACGGCTGCGGCACACTGAGGTACACTGAGAAAAATGTTGGCGCAAAATATATGTGTAGAATGACCACCCCTTGAGTTACCTGCCATCGCCATTTTGTATTTGCTAGGCATTTGAAGCCTCCCGTCGTATGATCGTTACCGTCCTCTTTTTTGCAGAGCATACACCTCGGTCGCTTCGTGCAGCCTCTTGCAATATGACCTTTCTCTCCGCATTTCCTACACATATCAGATCTGTCAGGGCTATTGCAGTTCCTCGCCTGGTGACCGAAACCCATGCACTTGAAGCATCGCTCCAGTTGCTTGCTAACCCGAGGAGTGTCTCCAACAGCTTATTCGCTGCTACTGTCGAAAGCCGTATCACCGCCGTTTGCATGCCGCCGTACACCTTCTTCATCCGGATTGACATCGGGACATCTCCCAGATCGCAGTGGACTCTCAACGCACATCTTAGCTTCTCTTCTGTGGTGATCTCGTCCAGATCCCTGCACTCGACCACTGTCTCCTGGGCTAGAGCTCTCACGCTCGCCCCTTCGCCAAGAGACTTTTCGACGAGCTCCTTGACGGCTGAGCTCTTGATCACAGGATCCTTCTTCAGCTCAAAGAGCATCTCGCCATTCTGGGTGCGCCTGGTTTTCACCACGTTCTCTCCTAGTTGCTACAACTCCGGATCCTCTCGAGCCTTTCGGACGAGTACTGTATACGACGGTTTGTCTTTTGCTTCGATGATCAGAGAATCACCCTTACTTTGCTCCCGACGAGTCCTGGGTATGTCCTTCTTCTGTTCTTCTTTTTTCTTCACTTTTTCATGTGCTTTAGCTGCTGCTTTCTCCTTGGCCTCGATCAGCGTCCTTTCGGCAGTCACGGATCTCGTCCTCAGCGTATCCTGTCCACGTTCGGCAGCAATCATGGCGGATTTGATGCCCGTCACCATTTTCTTTATTGCCTTGTGGACGTTGCTCTTATCCTTGACGAAGTCATGGAGTTCATTGATCCTCCTCCTGCCCAGCTACCGTGAAATTGGAACGGTTTTCCGTGTTGACATCCAACGATTTGGTCTTGTTGACGTTGATGGTTAGACCTGCTTCAGAGGAGCGTTCCACAAGGTCGTCGAGCTTACTCTGCATGTCAGAGTGATGTTGTGCTAGTAACGCAACATCATCAGCCAAATCGAAGTCGTTGAGATGCTCTATAGTAATAGGCTGCCTCAGAAACCCACGGTTCGGTACACAGTCAACGGCTCCAACCATGATCTCATCGATTACGATGAGGAACAATAGCGGTGAAAATATACATCCTTGCCTCTCACCCGTGATTACCCGAATCGGGTCAGACAATGCTCCGTTGTGCAACACTCTGCACGAG